ACGACGTTTCCCCTCCAGGTCAATGCCCGGCCGCCTCCACAGGCCTCCACATCTCTCACCTCCTCTTTAACCTCTTTAATTTTCTGTTTTGTTTTTCTTTTTTTTTTTTTTTTTTCCCTCCTCCTCCTCCAGACTGAGGAACATCGAGACGCTGTCGAACCTGCTCCGCTCCGTGCTGCTGCTCTCTCCAGGTAAAGTGGTGTTTTATCTCTCCCATAATGCATGCTGATGTAGCTACACAGGCCGCTGGCCGCCAGCCACTCCATCAAGGAGGCCGTGATGAATCCAGGTCGCTCATAAAAGTGGGAGGATGAGTCACTTCATTCCGCTCTCTCCGTGTGTGGAGTTTGATATTTCTGTTGATGTGTGATCTATTTTTTTTTGTATCTGAGCCTCAGTTGTTTTCCATCTATTCTACAAACAAACACATGGTTGGTGTTTCATTCTTTGTTTGGCTGGTTCTGTACCAGCAGAGATTCATGGGAAAAATCTCCATCATGGACAAACGGACGAAAAAGTAAAGTGTTGAAAAAGTGAAATAATCACAGACCTGGGATTCAAGGACTGGTCCAGCCTGGAACATTCTGGGTTTTTTTTTTTTTTTTAAGTCTTGAAAAAATGGCCTGTTGTCCTTGAAATGCATCAGGAAACAATTTGAACTGACAGCTAGTCGCTAACCGTTGCTACATGCTAATGTTTCAAAAGATGCTAAACATCTGAAGTAAAAAATAAAATAAAAAATTATATAAAAAATACACATTCTTTTGTGACATACAACGTACAGTCCACTTTAACCCTGTGACCCACTTTTTGGACCCAGCCCCACCTTTTGAGAAACATTGTTTTTGCTGTTTGTCGCTCTATTTTGTTGTGCGTTTTAGCTTCTGTTATTTTGTCTCTGTGTGTGTCCGTGTGTGTGTGTTCACATCTTTTATTCATGCCCTGGTTCCAGACGACCTGCTGTGCTGCGTGTACCTGTGTTTGAACCAACTCGGTCCTGCCTACATGGGGATGGAGCTCGGTGTCGGCGAGACGGTCCTGATGAAAGCCGTCGCTCAGGCCACTGGTATTACACACACACACACACACACACACCCACACACACACAGACCTAGACAGTATTTTTCTTTTGTCCAAACTGAGATGCAGATGTCGTCCTCGTCCTCTGCTCGTCCTCCGTCCGTTTCTATTTACCGCCCGGCTCTTGTTTCCAGGGCGACAGTTGGACAAAATCAAAGCCGAGGCTCAGGAGAAAGGAGACTTGGGTCTGGTGGCCGAGAGTTCCCGTAGCAACCAGCGCATGATGTTCCAGCCGGCCAGTCTGACAGCAGGGGGCGTGTTCAAAAAACTGAAGGAGATTGCGAGCATGAGTGGAAACTCGGTGAGCAGCGGAATGACGTTTTCATTAGGGGAGAAAAAAAAATCAACGTTTTTACTCTATTAGTCTCATTGTGTTTAAAAAGAAATGTTAACGTGATGATGTATTGATCATGGAATTATTGGTTAATTTGTCTACTTCAGATGGGGAAGCGTAGTAATTTCTCCGTGCATATGGCTGCAATCTGTCAAGCAATTAGTTTCTCCCTCCTCCTCGTTGTTGCTGCTGCGTCTGAGTTTTTCTTTCTTTCTTTATTTTTTTTTCAAGTTCTCTGATTGGAACACGGGAGTTTGTACTCTCTGTTGACCTCAGCCTTTTTACATTCCCTCTGTCTCTCCTCGCTCTACTTCTGTGAATCTCAATTTTCTCCCC